CCTGCTGCCACAGTTGGACATCACCTCTCTGATGTATAGGCAGCCAGTCACATCAGGAAGGATTGAGGGTGGTGGAGGGAGCGGGGCCCCTAGACTTCAAGGTCAGTAATGGGCTGGGGATATCTTCCACAACTCAGGACTCAGCTTCTGAGCCCGTGAGCCTCTCTGTGTGCCAGACTTGCCACCTTGGGCAACCTAGTTTCTAGAGCAGGTTATAGAAGGGACTGATTTTTTTTTTTTCTGTGTGCCCCGCTGTAGCCCTCTTTAGCATTCTTCTCTAAGTTCTAGCCAAACTGGGAACTAAGGAGTCTCTATGGAGTAGCACTCTTTCTCGTGGCCAAGGGCTGCTGAGGTTCAGATTCCCAAATCTCCATGGGTCAGGGCAAACTGGAACGCAGCAGGTGGCCCCTAGTCCTTCCCAGAGCTGTCCTGCACAGCTGCCAGCCACTGCAGCCTCACTCTCTGAAAAGAGGAAGAACTCGTAGAGGGACATCAAAGGACATTGACTCAGTGTGTGCCTCCCCAGGTCCGGGACTGGAGAGCCACTGCCCCGGAGCGCTTTGACAGGAGAGCCGTTACCTCATTGTATACCAGGCTATTCACTCTTTTGCGCAGTCGTGGGACGGGCCAACCTTTTCTTCCGTTCTCTTGAGATTAGCGCTCCCAATTTGCAAACCTATCTCCTTGGCCAGTTCATTGTGTAGATTTTGTTTCATAAGGGTCTGCGGCAGCTGGGCCCCAAAGTGAAAGGGGTCCAGAAGAGGAAATTGCTGAATCGTCGGATTGGACACAAGTGTTCTCTAACAAAAGGATTTGTGAGGGGAAAGGGCAGGGGCACTTAAAAATACTATAACTCACAATGACCCATGTGGCCAGGCTCCCTCTTCCCTGCCAGTCGCCTATCCTCTCCAATAAGTGGATTTGAGAGTCTCCCCAGCCCGACTGGGGCCAGAGTAAACAAACTGTCCATAAGAGTTGTAGAGATGCTAATGTTTGACAGGAGACAAGTGCCAGGAGCTGAGATTGGGAAAGGGCCTTTCTGGGGACAGGGGAGGGGGTGGGAGTTCAGTCTGTTCTGTTCAATGCAGCTGCCTTTATCGAAAGCCTCCTGCTGCTGCATCTTACAGAGAAGCACGGTTCTAAGGAAGATAGGATGCTTTCTCAACTGCCCAAACAGAGGTAGCCTTTGCTGGGATTGGGGAGTACACTTGGGTGCTGCAAGGTCAGAAGATATCAAGCAAGCGCGAACAGCTCTGGGGAATGAAGCAGGGCACTGTCTGTCCCAGACAGGCTGAGGTAAGACCATTATCAAGAGATACTGCAGGCTGGGCCAAGGACAAGGTGAGCTCACAGAGAGCTACACAGAAGCGGTGGGAATTAGGAAGGAGGAGGCAATAAGCAAATCAGGGAATCCTAGGATGAGGATTGCCATGTAGGTGGGAACTTCTATGATCTGGGGCCAGACAACAGACAAGAAAGTTCTGGAAGTAGCTGAGTCCAATAATTCAAAGTGAAATGAACATACAGAGCTGTCTTTACAATTTATGGGGTTGAGTGTATAAACTATTGAAACAGAAACTATTTGGGACTGGTGCTAAGCCGGAGTAGGTAAAGCTACTAGCATTTCGTACGGGTGTCAGTTCATGTCTTGGCTGCTCTACTTGTGATCTAGCTCTCTGCTAACAACTTGGGAAAGCAAAGAAGGATGGCCCAAAGCCTTGAACCCCTGTACCCATGTAAGAGACCCAAAAGAAGCTCCTGGGAACCAGTGGATGAAAGACCTCACTGTCTCCCTTCCCCACCCACACCATTCTGCCTTTCAAATAAATAAATTCTTAAAAAAAAAAAAAAAGCAAGGAGAGGGAAAGGGATAGAGAGAGAAAGGAGAGACTCGAGAGGGGGAGGGAGGGAGAGCCAGTGCAACAAAAGTGGTTCAGATGTTTCATTGAAAGTGCAAATGAAGCCCAGTAGGGAAAAAAGATTTAGTGGCAAGAGCAGTCTTTATCTTACTTTCAATATTGTTTACATAGTCGAGAGGGATGCATGCCTTTTTGGGCCTCTGATCAGGGTGGAGGATCAAGGTATGCAGGAAGGTGGGTGGAAGAAATACTTCACTTTTTTTTCCCCTGTGACTTTAGGAGAGGAAGGACTGTCATACTACGTTAGTACCTGGGGATGGTGGACGGTCATTTGATGATGGCTTAGAGACTTTAATGTGCAGAAAAATGTTCCAAGGGTGTTACTTGAGTGATTTTGATAGTTCTGAGATGTTGTTGGGTTCATTGCACCAGGGTTGAAAAAAATCTTTTCCAGGACTATTGGTTGACCAAGTCTACCTTAGTGCATTGCATCTACAGCTCCATGGAACATGCTGCAAAGCCTGGCCAGAGAGTTATCCAGCCTATTCTGCTTTCCGTCCTCTGATGAGGCAGTCTATGTCCTCTGCTGGCCTAGATGCACTGGCTGTCATCTGGGCACCTGTGTGCATTCTGTTCATGCATCAGAACCTGAGGAGGTCCAGTCCTGACTCCTTCTAATTCTATGCTTTCCTTTCACCACCTACACATTCAAAGTCTAAATCAAAGAGATATGTATTTTAATTTGCTGCACTGCAATTTGACCAGGCAAGGGGAGATTCTGGAAAAGGAGGACTGCCACAGTTGGAAAAAGATATTTTGAGGGTCAGGGACAAGTCTTACAATTTGATCCCTTTTGTGACATCCTGATTTAAATGACTCGAGAAGTGGCAAGATTAAAAAAGAGAGGATACTTTTGTACTCCCTGTTAGTGATTTTAGTCCTGAGGGTATGTCTATACTTGACCTCAGACAAAGTTGTTTCTTCTTCTTCCTTTTTTTTTTTTCAAATCAATTCAATTCGCATTTAAAAGGCAGAATTACAGAGAGCAGAGAGACTGAGAGAAAGCTCTGGGTTCCTCTGGACCCAAGAGAGTGGAGTTTCTTCCTAGCCTCCCACGTGAGTACAGGATCCCAAGGACTTGGGCCCTCCTTTGCTTTCCCAGGGAGCAGGGAGCTGGATCAGAAGTGGAGTATCTGGGACATGAACCAGCACCCATACGGTGTGCCACCACTTTGTACTGGTCCAAGCCTAACTCTTTATATCCATGAAAACTGAGAGAATTTGGAGAAGTGGAATGTGGATGGAGATCATATAATGAAAACATCCTTTGCGAAGCTGAGTGACCAAGCTGGGGATGAGTAACTCAACAGTGAATAGCTCTCAGAAGTCACCAGTGCTTTCTGCTAGCAAATAGTGAGATCCTACAAATGGATGATGCACATGTGTCCCTTTAATAGGACTTGGGTTAGGCTCTTGGAAATGTAAACCTTATTCAAAACAATTATGTAAACAGCAACATTACCCATAGGAATAAATTATGAGGGTGAAATTCTAAAGAAATCTCCCTCCAGCAGACCTCTCAAGTCACCAAAGAATTACCAAGTGAAGGTAATCTGGGGGATTAAGTGTGCATCTCAAAAACAATGAAATATTGAAAAAAGCATTTTTCAGCAACTTGTTGATTTCACAGGTTCTCATGACAACATATGCTAATTGTAAAAGGCAACAAAACCAATTGCAAACATGTACAGAAAAAAAATTGAGTGCAATTTCCTTGTTAGCAGACTCAGGCTAACCCATGAATTGCAGAGAACTTGATTGCACTTATTTTATAAATGCTTAAAAGTACTTCTTCTATTAAAAGTTATACTGTAAAAATATTCTAACATAACAATAAGCAATTTGTATGCATATGATTTTATAATCATTTATACATTTTGTAACTACCTGGAGTTTTTTCCTGCCTGGGGACAAATAGTATTTATTTTTTTCCAGTTTTATTGAGGCAGAACTGACAAAAATTACATATGTGTGTAAGGTATACACCATGACATTTTGATACACACGTATCTTGTGAAACAAAAGTCATTATCAGGCTCTACCACCTTATGTGGTCATCTTTTATTTATTTAGCATTTAGGTTTTATTCTAACACATTTCAAGTATGCGAAAAATTTTAACTATACTCACCATGCTGTATATAAGGTTCTTAGAACTTGTCCATTTTATAAATGAAAAATGTGCACCCTCTGACCAATAGCTCTTCATTTCTTTATTTCCCAGCCTCTGTTATGCACCATTCTACTCTCTGCTTCTACGAATTTGTCCTGTTCATATTCTGCATACAAGTAAAATCATGGAGAATTTGCCTTTCTTAATTGTTTTATATAATATAATGTCCTTTATAGCAGATATTGTATGATTTCTATTCATTTAAATTTGTTTGGTGTGTGGCCCAAATGTGGTGCATCTTGCTGAATGTTCCACATGACTTGGAAAGAATGTGTATTTTGTTGTACTTGGTTGAAGTACTCTATGGATGTCCACTACATCCAGCTGAATGAATGATGGTGTTGCTGAGTTAATAATGTCCTGCTGACTTTCTGCCTTCTCAATCCATCTATTCGTGGTAGAGGGTTGTTCAAATCTTCACATATAATTGTGGATTAAATAAATAGATATAAAAAATAGAAAATTTCTCTTTGACGTTTTATCAGTTTTTTTCCTGATATGTTTTTTGACACTTCAACAGATCTTATTACATACTAAGTTTAAAAATACAAATCTTATTAAAAATGCTTATCAAGCATTGTATACATAAGTACTGTCAAAAACTATTGGATTATGACATTCTGTACATTTGCTAAGGTCAATTAGAAAGAGAATGAGGTAGCATAACTTAGCTGATGGTGAATTTCATCAGTCAAATGTTTTAAAATTTGGAAACGGGGAAGTGGTGATCTGTACCTGAGGTTTGCAGAGGTAAACAGTAAGAAAAGAAATGGAATCATGCAGCTCTTCCTGAACTAAGTGTTCACAGGTGGATTTCTCCCTTGCCCTCGTAAGTCTCACTGTAATGGGAATTAAAGTGTAAAGGCCACCAGGAATACTTGGCTTGCTTGCACCCTGAACACACGCTACCGCCCACAGTGCTGCCGTAATCAAGGTCTCCATGCTTCGTGCACTTCCTGAGGCTCTGGAAGTTAATGTTGAATGTGGCTAGGGGACAGGAGGACGTTTTCCAAACTGCACCAAAGGGCCTTAATATATAGAAACACCAAAGATAAAAAATAATAATGTTGAGAACAGATTCAAGGAGACTATCTCTGTGTGTTTGACCATAGGAATCAAATCAGGTGAGGACCAAGTTTCACCTCTGGAGAACACTTCCTAAAAATCTGTTTCCAAAAAATCAGACGTGTACAGCAAGCACCACAATACTGCCAGTTAATGTCCACTTACACGTGACCTGTGACCTGCCCTCTACGGGGTCACAGGAAACACAGGTCAAAGTATGTTATCACGTGACGCTGATTTTACTAATGAAGCACAACTTGTAAAAAGCAGGTAACGACCACACACTTAAGGAAGAGGAAAAGGAAAGCCTCTATGCTACAAAAGTTCTCCTTTTAGCTCTCAACCCCAAGAATTTCATTTTGGGTAGAACAAGATTGTAATGTAAGGCCATCAGTTCTAAATAAGCTGATGATCCCATATGTGTATACTCACATACATATGTTTCAATCTCAATTTTGATTCAACACTAATCTACTAATACAAAACATTTATAGGAATCATTTGATCACCTATTTACAAAGAACGACAAAGATATGGAAAAAAATTTGAACACAGATAATCATAGTGCATTAAAGATAAGACATATTTGTTTAACCTTTAAGAAAATTAGAAAGAAATCCCTACCTATACTGTTCATGGGACCTAAAAGGAAACAAATGCAATGATCATGATTAACCTTTAATTACTGTTTCCTCTAATAACATCGATATGAGGTCTAGTTAAGGTACTGCCTACAAATACAAATTCTGTCTTGGTACAATGAGAATGTGAAGTTATTGAACAGAGATTTTTATTCCCATGGTGCATCACACTTTGTAACACTAATAAAGTAGGTTTAGATAGCACTTAAATCATGATTACGAATGCTTAATTGAATATTTTCCTTTCTGTAGCTGTGAAATGTAAAGCTTAGATTTGCTTCCATCAGGCCTCTTAAACCAAACTTGATCATGGTTAACGGTTGTAATTATGGCACTGGTAGAACATTCATCTTTTTTTTTATCAACACGTATGGTCTGTCTGTGTATATACCATTCACCATCATAATACAGTCTTCCCTCTTCAGATCTGGCACTGTGCAGATGCTTCTCCAGCTTCACAGGGGGTTCTGTTTTCTCTCTGTATGGACCCAGCGTAGCCATTACCTTCCTGATTTTTGTCCAGTCTTCCAGAATGTCAAGATCTTGTAAACATATACACTATATATGGGCCTGAAACAACAACGGGCTTCTTGTAGGGACTGAACGGGTCCTTACTCTTCTTTCTTGACTGCAGCTCATCATTTCACAGCTCTGAGGTAATGTTAGTGCTGTGCCTGTCCTCTTCAAGCCTTCGTATCTTCTCCTCAAGCTCACTCTGGATCGTATCATATAACAAAAGCTTCTCACTCTCACAATGCTGGCGAGAAGCTTGGATTTCACATTCATATTTGTTCTTTTTTTTTCCTTAAAGGTTTATTTATTTATTGGAAAGTCAGATATACAGAGAGGAGGAGGAGACAGGAAGATCTTCCGTCCGATGATTCACTCCCCAAGTGAGCGCAACGGCCGATGCTTTGCCGATCCGAAGCCAGGAGCCAGGAACCTCCTCCAGGTCTCCCACGCGGATGCAGGGCCCCAAAGCATTGGGCCGTCCTCAACTGCTTTCCCAGGCCACAAGCAGGGAGCTGGATGGGAAGTGGAGCTGCTGGGACTAGAACCGGCGCCCATATGGGATCCCGGGCGTTCAAGGTGAGGACTTTAGCTGCTAGGCCATGCCGCCAGGCCCCGTATTTGTTCTTTACTGATTCTAAGCAGAGCTCCCTATGGATTCCTGCTACCTTTGTATTAATTTGCATATTTTCTTGTAGAGTTGCCAGTGGTTCCAAATATTCTGATGTTTTCCCAGCTATGACTTCTTGTAGTTTTGCATCCACCTGACTTAATCGCTCTTTATAAAGTTGGTCTTTGAGGTCGGTAAACTGTTTTTCAAGATTGGACATTTCATCTAAATATTCCATTCTTCTTTCACAGTCTTCATCATCTATTTCTGAGCTGTCACCATCCTCCGAGACTGATGAGCTCTCGGTGTCCTAGTCCTCGGAGCTACTCCATTCATTCTCGGAGTAGTTCACCTCGGAGTAGTTCATCATGATGGTTCGTTTCCTTCTTATCCCCCAACCCCCACCCCCGGGGAATACACCAGCATTTTCCAGCCGTGCAGTGGCTTCTCACTCCCGGCACCCACCCCGGCCACCGCTGCTTCAAGGAAGGGAGCACCGAACACTGGGACCCACCCTGCAGCTGAGCTCACTCCGAACCCCTAGGTTCCTCCTCCGATAAGTTTTTGCATTTGATTTCAGGCACGTGGAGGTTAAGGATTCTTGGGGAATCGATCTCGTCATCATTGTGTGATGTTCTTTGTTATCTCTGTTAACTTTCTTCTGTTGAAGTCAGCTCCTCTGAAATTAATATCACACTAATCTTCCTTTATCTGTGTTTTCACTTACCTGCAGTTTCAGTTTCTTATGGCCAAGCTTGATCCAAAAGCTCAATGGAAATACTATTAATAGAAATAAATATTTTAGAAACTTTAAGCTATACATCATTTTCAGTATCTTGATAAAACCTTGCATTATGCATTTCACTCTCATCCGGAATATAAATTTTTCCTAACTTATTCATGCTGAATATGTTACCCACCTGTTAGTCACTTAGTAGCCATCCTATTTTCAGATTCATTGTCATGGTGCTGCATTGCCTGTGTTCTAATAACCCTTGTTTTACTTAATAATGACATCAAAATGCAAATAATATTTATGCTAGCAATTTGAATATGCCAAAGAGAAGTCACAAAGTGCTTTCTTTCTTTAATTGAAAAAGTATAAGCTCATGATTGAAGAAAATAAAAATATGGGATGCTGAGATTACCAGTCTATGCTGTTGTTGTTAATTTCTTATTGTAGTTAATTCATGCATAACATTTAATTATATGTTTGTGTGTAGGGAAATACATGTGTGTACAGAGTTCAGTGCTATCATGAGTTTCAGGCGTCCATTTGGATTCTTCACTAAGGAGATACTACTGTACTTCCAGTATCTTTTGATTACTATTAGGACAGTGTATCTTTTGCTGTTAGTGTACTTTTTTTTTTAAAGATTTATTTATTTTTTTTTTTATTGGAAAGGCGGATATACAGAGAGGAGAGACAGAGAGGAAGATCTTCCATCCGATGATTCACTCCCCAAGTGAGCGCAACGGGCCGATACTATGCCGATCCGAAGCCAGGAGCCTCTTCCGGGTCTCCCACGCGGGTGCAGGATCCCAAAGCTTTGGGCCGTCCTCGACTGCTTTCCCAGGCCACAGGCAGGGAGCTGGAAGGGAAGCGGGGCTGCCGGGATTAGAACCGGCGCCCATATGGGATTCCAGGCGTGCAAGGCGAGGACCTTTAACCACTTGCGCCACCGCGCCGGGCCCTGTTAGTGTACTTTTAATCTCTATGTATTTTATGGAAAATGGATTTCTTATAGGCAACATATTACAGGGTCTTCTTGTTTGATCCCCTATGATATCCATCTTTTAGTGCTTTAGATCATTGACTTTTCCCATTCATGAATTATTGATATAGCTGGTTTAGTATCTACTATATTTGTTGCTGTTTTTGTCCTTTTTTCTTTGTTCATATATTTTCAATAGAAAAAAGTATTTATGTTTTTGAAGGTCAGAATTAGAGAGGGAAAGAGAAAGAGAGCGAGAGAGAAGAGGGAGAGAGAAAGATTTGCTCATTCCCAGATGTTAGCACTGGCCAGGGCTGGGTCAGACCGAAGCCAGGAGACTGGAACTCAATCTGGGTCATCTATGTGGGTGTGAGAGCCCAAGCGCTTGAGTCATCCTCTGCTACTTTCCCCAGGTGCATTAACAGGGAACTGGATCGTAAGTGGAGCCGCTGGAACTTGAATGAGTGTCCAAATGAGAGATATTCACATCACAGGAGTTGACATGAACTTACACCACAACCCCAGTCCCTCTAAGTTTTTAAAATAGAGAAATACACAGTGTGCGAACATCATCTCTAGTCACCCTACTGTACAACAGAATCCAAAAGCAGCTTACTATTATATATCCCTGATGCAGTATCCCCCATCTTACTCGCTTCACTTTCCTCTCAAATGTCTGGTCATGCCATTACATTTTTAACCTCCATGAGTTCACCTTTTTCTTTTTTAAGGCTCCACATAGGTGCAAGATAATGTTTCACTTGTCTTTCTGTGCTTGGTTTATTCCAATTAGTATAAATACCTCTTTTCCCATTCATGCTGTTGCAAATGATGAGACTGCACTCTTTTCGTGGTTGCATAATATTCCATTGTATATGTGTACCACATTTAAAAAATTTATTCTTTAGTGGATTGGCACCTATAATGTTTACGCTGCATGGATATTTGTGAGTAGTTCAGCAATAAACATGGAAGTATACATGTTTATTCAATAGATGGGTTGCATTTTCTTTGGAATTGCTAGATCAGTAATAGATTTTATAAGATCCACTTTCACTTTTTTCAGAACCCCCACAATGTTTTCCATAATAACTGCACTAATTTAATTCCCAGCAACAGTGTAAAAAGACTTCCTTTTCTCCACATTTTCATCACCACTCGTCATTTGTGTTTTTGATAATAGTCAATCTTATTGAGGGTGAGGTGATACATGATTTAGTTTAAATTTCTCTGAGAATTCAGTGATGTTAAGCATTTTTAATGTACCTGTTAGAAATTTAGGTGTCTTCTTTTGAAAATGTCTGTTTTTGTGTGTTTGATCGTTCATGATATTTTATTTTGCTGTTGGGTTGCTTGAGTTCCTTATATGTTCTGGATATGAATCTCTTGTTAGATGTACAG